TTAAATGTGAATGAATATAAACTTTGTGAATTTTGCACCATTTCGCCAACCATATCAAAGGCCACGGGATAACATGTATTGCGTGATTACCAGAAGAAAACAGTGTAAGCATGTCTGTCTGGAAGAGATAGATGTGTTTGTTTCTGCGCCAAGCGGAGCTAAGTTTGACTTTATAGCTCCATATTCGTTTGATTGTTTGAATGGAGATCAAGCGAATAGCAACTCCATCGTCCTGGTGGTGGTTCCGCTAATTTCCCTGATGAAAGATCAGGTCTCTAACCTAAATTTCCGTGGAATTCCAGCTTCCTATGTAGGAGACGACTGTTCTGAACAACAGCTACAGGATATTTTAGATCTTAAAGTTAAACTGGTATTTGGAAGTCCGGAGGCGATTCTAAACAACTATCGCCACATTTTTCGTCGACTGAAAAGCAATTTAAAATGCGTCTTCGTCGACGAAAGTCATTGTATAGCTAAATAGTGAGTGCTGTTTTATTTCATTTATCTCTAATTTTAAACTAGGTCGAGTTTATTTAACTTTAACTGCAGTAATGGAATTCAGTAGTGGTTTGCGGCTTCGTTTTTGTCTGCGCAATTTCGGCACAAAATGTTTGTCAGAAGTGAACCTTCGCCACTCGATATCTCCTGTCCGGCGATCAATTCGAGACTCAAACAAGCTTTGGTCTTTTTTGGTCACCCGATATCGTCAATTTTCGTTTAAAATCTTTGTTCGTAATTACTTTAGTACAGAGTAAACAAATTTGCTCTTTCGACGCCTGAGGCACACACGTTCGATTGTTTTGGTCGGAGTGCAACCGATACTTCCCGCCATTCAATTCAACGATTTCCAAAATAACCCATGTTATTCTCGCATTTTGATTAGTTCTCGCCTATGATCTATTAGAGGACAGACCCACGATTGACGTCATCATTTCAAAGTTTTTCCCTCTGTGTTTAAAATGGCGGAAAGTTTTGAGAATTTAGATAGTATTTTACATGACTGGGGAATGATAAGGTACAAAAAGCCTCGTCGATCGCGAGGCATTGAACAGGCATGAGAGTCTGGAAGAAGAAAGAAGCCGTTTCTTTTCTAGAAAATGACTCAGAAAAAATACTCGAGCAGTCTCAGTCGGCAGTCGAGCGAGACTGAGCCAAACACAAATTGATCTTGAAATTACTTTAAGGTAAGAAACTATTGCTTTGTCCCGAATTCAACAAAACCAATGAGCAAAATGTTTATGAGATTAATTTATTTAAAAGTTCAACTTTTCTTAGTCTCAAAATGATTGTTGACACAGTTGAAATAAACGCCTAAGCTTAAGTTTAACCTTGTTTTCCGACGCGAATGTTCCAGTCCGTTTCAGGGCACAGTAGCGAGAAAAGCAGAGCTCACTACAGCTCACGGCCAACTGTATTCCAGCTATAAGGTGTCTCCGACACTATATCAAACTGATTTGAGAATCACCAACCACAGAAGACACAAATTTCCACCGTCACTAACGCTCCTTTCATCCAAAACTCGAATCGAATGGCCTCCAGTGTTGACCGCAGCTGCAAGTTTTCCTAGCGTATTTTTTCAACTCCTGCAATATTCAAGACAACATCCAAGCTTTTCGGCTAACACTGCCCCTCTGATGACAAAAACGAACTTGACTTTACAGCATTTTCTTAACGATTTGTAGATTTCGCAGTTCAATTCTGCTTGCGTTGTAAGTTTTCAATTCACGAGAAGCGATTTTCGACTAAAGTTTGACAGTGGCGTGATTTTTCTGGACCAATCACAATTCTTTGCTACACATAACAACCAATGAGATTACTTCATTTTGTATAGACAATAGATTACGTCATCAAATGCCTTGTTTTCGTTTTCGCCAAAGCGGGTAAAGGCCGGCTTTCGAGTTATGTAAGATTTTAAAATAAAGAAGTTTTTCTGTTGTTTCTTTATTATATAAAACAAATAGATTCCATGTTGCAGTGCGTCTTGTTCTGTAATAGATCACAGATGACGTCAAAATGTGGTAAGAACAACAAAGTGGCACACGAGGCGGTAGCCGAGTGTGTCACTGATGTTCTTACCACATTTTGACGTCTTCTGTGATCTATTACAGAACAGACGCACGGCAACATGGAATCTATTTGTTAATTAGAANGTGTGTCACTGATGTTCTTACCACATTTTGACGTCTTCTGTGATCTATTACAGAACAGACGCACGGCAACATGGAATCTATTTGTTAAATGTAATCTGAGGCACCAGTTGCGAGTCACGCCACTCCTCATTTTTGGCGCGAAACGCAAATGAAAACCCTTCAAGCGAGATAAGTAGACCTCTCGCGACTCTCGCTTTGCGACCTTAAAAACGGCCGCTTCACGGCCTAACATATTCTACCCTGAAATTCACGAGGTCGACTTGTGGTAGGTCTACGTTTTTCTTTTCTTTCCCGTTTCTCTAATAGCGGCCAGTTTCGGATAGTGTGAAAACTGAAGCGCTTCAGCTTTGCTGCAGGTGATAGAAACAAGAGATTCACGGTCTAAATGAAGCAACTTACCCTCTTTGGGATAAAACGCCCGGATCAATGACTGCCATTTTCCTTTCAGACAATTCCTGTCCCAGAGTTCTTTTTAGCTTAGTACACGTAAACCGCGCGGGTCGCGTCCAAGCGCGCGTTTCGAGGCACGCACGTGCCCACGATGAAACTGCGAATTTTTTGTCGGGTAGGAAGGGGAGTTTTAACCATACGAACCCACCATCATACCGGTCACCCCAAAACGTAGACCATGCATACTGCAGACTGCAGACCGTGCAGACCATGCAGACCGTGCAGACTGAGTACTCTTTTTCTACCATTTGACTCCCTTTTTTCGCTTCTAGTGACAAAATAGTGTTCAATATGTCGTAATGTTTGTTATTTATCCACAGGCGGCACAAACTCAACATCTGACTGTTGATTCACGCGTTTAATAGACTTTCTATGGGAAATTCATTTTACTGGTCCTAAATATACTAAAATCAAGCATAAAAATAAACTTCCATACATTCTGGGCGCAAATTGCGTCAATTTTCGACGAGTTTGTGGTTTTATTTATTTTGTCCAATTTGTTGTTGTGTGTGTGTGTGTGTGTGTTTTTTTTTGATTTTCTTAGTCTTCGTTCTCCTCTTAACTGGTTCATAAAACAAAGCAAGGACGGTGACTCTAAGCGACCTCGTCCCACAAATCGCTCTTGCTTCACAAAGCACAGAATCGCCATTAGACTAGGAGTATTTGATTTCCTCTTTCGCTTAGTTGAACATGACTGTAAGTAAACCTCGAGGAAAAAAATGCTCGCATGAAATTTTTTCCTTGAGGTGATGCGTCACGCACGATGGACTAAGCGAAAGAGGGACCACTCATAGTCTAAATCGCCATAAAATCAGAACTGCCCTAAGGACAGATAAATTAACCATCGCATCAACTCATCACGGCAACCGTACTGCGCTGAGAATTTCAAATGC